TACGGACGACCAGTGTTGTGCATAACGACCTGCAGTGGCGTTTGGCTGAGTTGATGTTGCAGATGTGGAACGGCGCCCGTATGGACAGCAATAACCACGCACTTGATCCCCATGATGATTCGCCAGTACAAGTTGACGATAGCTTACAACTCAAGGTTCGGTGTCGCCACAGCATGAGTCTTGTCTTTGATTCCGTTTGGCGTTGGAGAGAAGAGTATCAGTCACAAGGAAGAGGGACCCTAGAGAGTAAGGTTCCCCTTCCAGAACAGGACTCATCTTTCGCTACGATGTATGATGTGCTAACGACGGTATTGCTACAGGTATAAAGCAGACACCTCAGCCGGAACCAGCAAACGATTCTTCAGCCTCGTCGACCCATCTCGACAGTACCTTGATGCCATCGCACAACCTCGGGGCCTCCAGCATGCTCTCAACTAATGGTGCCCTAACTCCCGGCGCAACTGGCCTCTCCGCCCCTTCCTCCGCTCCTAACAGTCTCATAGGGGCGATGAACTACGGCGATTCCATCGACTTTTTCGACCCGCAAAACTGGATGCTCGACGGTTTGCTCGATTTTAATTACTCGTTCGTTACGCCGCTCGAGGGTGGTGTTTAGTCTGGCTTGTTAGTGTTTTGCTTCTTATATGAACCAGGGAGAGAATGTTGTCTGAAACTTACCTATATGCTTTTTAAAGTTACTCTGCGTTTTGCTTTTCCCCACCCCTTCCCCGAAGAAGTTTGCAAAGGGGGGAGGGAGCAGTGTCGAAGTGTTGATCGGAAGGCGAAGTCGAATTGGAAGAAGAAGACGGAGGAGAAGAAGAACAATCTTCTTCTCAACTATGAAAATCGGAAGGTAAGGCACCGCAATTGCCGATGCTCTTACAAAGGCTCGTGTTTTCCTGGGCCTAGTAAAGTTTGCTATTCAGATAACGCGTTATGTAGCTCGAGCCTTCTAGTTTGTCTTACCCCTTAGGCTGGCTACAAAGTATTGATATGGTTTAGTGTTAGGATACGGTTGATGGGATGACGGACGTTCGGTAGTCTAGACAGATCTGCGTTCCTGGGATGCGCATTTGGGATGCACACGAATGTAATGATGTGTAAAATTCGTAGATGAATTGAATCGTTTCGTCAGTTTGCATGTTGAACGCAGTGAGTGAATGATTTCGATCGCAACTTGGGCCACAACGCAGACTAGACCAGTGAGTCCGTGAAAGTCAACAGCTCTCTGCCTGGTCAGAATATACCCGTGACCTCTGCTGTTCTCGTTCTGTTGGGAATTCGTGATCTTGTTCGACTGGATCCTCTAGCGTTCTCGTCTAGCCTGCATCTACAACGTTCTCGTTTAGCTAGGACCCCTGGGTTTGTCACAATCACCTGAATGACTGACTCATAAGGCGAAGGCGACACCCGAGAGCGATTGCAACTATACATGGAGGAGGGCGTGTATCACGATGACGATTTGACATTAGGGCGCCCGGAGAGCGAGGCTCCCTGGTAAGATCTGTAGGCAGAAGCTCCATGTGACGATGAACTTTGTCCGTTTCCCAGTCTCAGTTGAGCCTCATCGTCGCACTTTCCCCGTGTTCCCAGAGACGTGCATCGCGTAATCTGACCGAACCCAAACCAGAACACCGGAAGCCCGACGGCGATCCTGGTTGAGATTGTCATTCATACGAGGTCAAGGCCCAAGCAGGGCTGTGTAGCGAGCGTGGGTTAGCAACACCCACAATTGACTCAATTCCACTTGGAACGTGGCCAGGACGAGGTCGTGGACAAATTTGGGAGATCAACGAGGCTGAGCATGAAATTCCGACAATAGAAAATCTAGAACAACTTAACTCGATGCGGCTCTCCAGAGGCCATTATCGCGAGTCTGCCTTTTCGTCGAGGGCCTCTCTCCCCCCCCGTGGGTCGGGTAGGCCCCGTTTCATGCGACCGCCCTCGCTCGTCTTTGCACGGCCACACTCGCGTTTAAAAAAGTAATTCCGCCCACGGAATACGCCTAACGCACGTTGAACAAGCGCTGGATTCCCGAAGATTGTGGGAAAAGCTTCATGGTTTCCCCCATCACCAGTCTGCTCGCGGGGGGGGGGGAAGAGGGAGAGAGGCCTGGTCGATTCTCGGTGGCGGGTCTCATGGGCCTGTTCGCTCTGCCAACGACCGGTCAAGCATCAACCACACCCCCTTTTCCGTCCTCCCCCCTTGCGCCACATCGATCTATACCCGGGCTGGCTCAAGATTTTCAAGCAACGCGCGGGAAAAAAGAACCATTGTTGATCTTGTTGGTCGGCGAGCTAGGCGGGTAAGGCGAGTCGCGGTTGGCGGTTTCCGTCGAGTTCCGCGTGATGGCTTCAAAAAGAGGAGGGGGGCGTGGCCTGAAGCTCCCGGAGGTTGGACAGGTACCAGTGTGTACACTATCACAACACGTATACAACCCACATCGGCTGAGATGCAAAAGAAAGTTTACTGTGCTGGCGTTCCCTTGAGACCCCCAAATCCAGGGGGGAATGAGGGAGGGAGGGAGGTGTGGGCTGGCGGCGGCAAACCACGTAACCAACGCACGCTCGGCACTCTGGATCGAACGTTTGTGTCCAACATCACGAGCGTGCTAGCTCGGCTAGACGGTCGTCCAGGCGCCTAATCGCCGACGGGGTTCAGGAGTCATTGACAAGTGACAGCCATCTCAGGCAACATCGTCGAACCATGACGTCTCACGGCCGCTAGTAGTCTACGGCCTTGCAAAAGCGCCGTTCCTGTTCCCTGCTCTCTTAGTTTGGCACCTCCTCTTGGATGAGATCCGAAGTCTATCTAATATCAACGTTTGATGTAATTGGGTTGGAAATGAGCATCACTCCATGCCTCCCCCTTGCGTCGTTATTTCAACGGCTGCCCGGTTTCGGCTAAGATATATGGGATATAAATTTGGACTCTTCTTGAATCTTATGTACAAGTGGAGAAGGATACATGAAGAGAACGGGCATCACTGATTTGACTGGCGGCACATGTGATAAAGGGGGGGAGGGTGGATGGATGCCTGTTGGCTCGGCGTACAGTTTGTGAAGATGTCATTAACGGACCGCTACCACAGGCTAGCAGCCTTTTTGGCTTTGAAGCCTAATTAGATCCCCATTGACTCCAAGGTCAATCTCATATTGAGGTCCTTTTGACTCATTATCAACTTACAAAAGGGGAATGGAGGGTGGAAGGTGCTCCGGCCCCGTGTGTGTACAACCACCCCCTCCTACAGGCTGGCTCCCCGTATCCCCGTCGGTCGAGGCACGAGGCGCGAGGCTGTTGACCGAAAGTGAAACGCCGGCTAGCGTGTGCTGTCGAAATTAGAGCGCTCTGCTTCGACCAACATGCGGAGCTGTACGGCGGAAAAAGTGCCGTAGGGGCGTCAAAGCTTTTGGGGTTCGGCATCGCGAGTCCAGACCCCACGCGCCACAAGCGAGCGACTTTACTCAGAGAAGTCAAGATACCGCGCGACTAACAAGCAAAGGCTAGTAGGATTAAGGTAACGTTAGACGAAGGACGGAAGCGGCTTTGTCTGGCTATCCAGTCCAATATCATGAGACCAACCATCAGGGCCGATGCAACTCGTCGTGCCCCGGTTGTCACTCGCCCTCTGTGCAGAGGAAAAGAGGCATAGAGACTACCCTAAAAAAGAAACCGCACTAAAAGTAGGATTGGAAGGCTGAAGAGACGTCGTTATGGGTCCCGAGATACCAACGCATTCAGCTTGAAGTTGCATTGGAGAGCCAAGGCTCAAATCAGACGTTGGAGGTGACATTGCCTAGCCTTAGGCCAGCCAGTTCGCGTCTATGAAGGAGCCGCATGAGCATGATTCCACTCTCCATGATGACCGGGAGAATAACCCATGAAAAAAAAAGAGGATTATTTTTTATTGGGCTTGCGGTTCTGGATTGGGAGATGGAGCGAGCCTTATGCGGCCCTGGCGCTTATCGATGAAGCTTGAGGTGGGCTAGTTTGGAAAGACTTTGAGGCGGAGCTTTGGGGGTTGGCCAGGCCAGAGCTGCCGGCGCTACTCTGCTTGCGTGTATGGAGACGCACACTGCATTGAAGACCGTTTTTTCTTTCCCTTCTCAGTGTGAATGGACCGAGATGGATCCGAAGAGGACGGGCGGCATTGGCACGCCCACTCCTCCCGCAGTGACAAATCTGTCCGGTTGAAAAGTTGCTCGGCAAGCGACGGATCGTACGTGGGCTCCTATGGCGCTAATACACGTACTCATACATGAGAAGGCAACTAGATGTGGAGAGATATTCAATTTGGGGGGGGACAGGGAGCGGAAACAGGGTGTATCAGAAGATTCCCAAGCAAGTCCCGAGGCTATGATGAGGCACAGCGTAGGGCAGGAGAGCCTCCAAAACCAATTATATCACATGCCGTACTATTAATGCAACTAACACGATTACGCCTGGCCAAGTATGGTCCAGGGATCGACGAGGAGACTGGGAGCAAGGAAGGGAAGACCTGGGGGGGGCAGAGAAAGGTATCGACATTCACCCCGCCGGCGAGAGGTCGTTGAGCGAGCTCCGCCACGACTGGACGGGGCGATCCAGGAAGAGGGACAAGGCCAAGCCATAGCCACCGTATCAAAGTTCATGGACTGGGGTCAGCGACGCACAATCTGGTAGGTGATGAGGGCGTCGCATTCGCAATTCAGCAGGTATGAGCTGGCGGTGCGTTGCAGCTTGCATCTCTTGGTAACCAATGATGGCGGCTACAACAGCACTGAGCTGCTCAAGACGACACAACCAGACGTGGACTAGGGTCGTATTGGCGAGGGCGCCCATTGGTTACGTTGGCCGCTCTGACTGTGACAGCGAGGAGGGCGTGCGCATATCGCCGTGCATGATGGCCAATCAGAGTGCAGAACCCGACCAATCAGAATGAGATGCTGCTGCTAGCGCGTCCCGACAGTCTGGTTCACTAACAAAAGGCGCAACGTAGCGTGGTATTGCCAGTGGAGGTGCTACGCAACAGCGACGACTCTCTGAGAGGAGCTTGGGCAGGTACCGGTACCCACCCTGCGCCAGGAAGCCGGGGGCCCTTGTCGTTCTGGCTGGATCTTGGTGAGGGGCTCCTTGTCATCCCTAAACGACTCAGGTTCACCACCCTCCGACCACCCGGCCGATACTGGCATGATTCTCAGTCCTAAATCTAGCCCGAGCTGCACCGTGCCAGAGAAGGCAGTGGTCAGGCAAATGGGCATGTTGAACGTGCGCGTGAAACTGTACTTGTCTTCTTTCTCCCTGGTTTCCCCGGAGTCAAAGAGGCCTCTGGCCAACTGGTCAGCCCACTTCCTAGCTCATGCGAGGTGGAGATGGGAGTCGTCGCAATGTCCATCCTGTATTTCCTGGTTTGCTTCTGCTTCCCCCTTCACGGTGGTGCTTCTGACGACCGTGGTTTGCTCTCCTCTACTGGCTCGGCATATATCTTTGTTTTCAAACGGAAACTGGCAAGTGCCGCAGTGCAGGCCAATGGGAGTAAGCAGTGTGCCAGCCAGTAGGGGTCGTCTCGTCTTACTGACACGATTAAGTGCCGTACATGAGTGCCAGGCTGGATCGGCCGCCGGCTTCAGACGAGCCTGCAACGAACGGCCGACCGTAGTGAATGATACATACCTTACCTTGCTCGTATCATTAGAATCCGGTCCACGGACCACCAACCCGCATTTCCCAGGCTCCAGAATCCATGAATCAACGCCCAAGATTTAATCGCCTTCTGGGGGGTACTTTTGCCCAGCTCCCACGTTTGAAGCCGGGCATATTTGGCGGGTAGGGTTGAAACCGGTGCCAGATGAACGTACAGGTACGTACTGCGATGGGTAAGAGGGTCAGTTGCAAGGGAGAGACGCATATCTGATGTGGGGGGGATCCAAAGGGCTGACGCCACTCCGATGTGAGATGTGCGGACAACCCAAACAAGTCACTTCTAAATGCGACGGTGAGGTGCCTTAAGGCAATGCTCTTACCGCCCTTTTGAGATCGCCTTCAGTGTCATAGTTTTCTCGGGAGTGGTATTATTCTTCCTGCAGCCTGGAGTGCTAATATTAGTGGTGGGAGGAAACAAAGAGGAGGGGAGGGTGGGCGAGAATATTCTGTCCAGGGCAGCGAGCTGTCGGTTGAGCTAGGTAGGTACTCACTAAATAAAACAAGGTAGGTGCTAATCTACCGCCTACTGCCTCTACCTGCTAAAACACGGCGGCTACGATCACCCCCCAAGCTACTACGGTAATCGGTCCCTAACTTACTCGCACCTTGCATCGGCCTGCCCACACCACACCACTCACAAGTAGCGACCGCGGGTTTTCAATCCGACCCGTCCTAGTGTCGATTCCATCACGTACGAGCGAAGCTTGAATAATGACGCCGAAATGATGTCTCCAGACTGCGGCCCCAGCCGGCAGCTAGTAAGGCGGCCGGTGTCAACCCAATACCTGCTGTTATTAGCAACAATGAAGTCGTGTTATGCAGGACTACGTCGACTTGATAGGCACTCTCATTGTATCATTGTGGGCGGCCCCCAATGGCACGCTGCTAATCCTGCCGTCGAGGACTCAGCTGCGCAGGCGTAGGTTCAGTAGGTCAAGTCTGCCATCGCCCATTGGATGATTTCGGTGCTGCCATCCATCATCTTGAGACGCATGAGAGGGGAGGATTGAGATATCATAGGGCAGTCCAATAGGCAGCACCGCCTCTATGCTGGTGCTCCCAAAAGGGAACTCTGGGCCGGTAGTCATCGTGGTATTGGGTGAAAGCAAGCCGCCAGCTCACCATGACGACGCAACGGGTGGGAAGCACATCTCCCAGGTACATACGGCATGTCAGAGGTACGTTAGAGGTGTGAGCAGAACGTTGGCGGGTGCTAGGTGGGTGGGATGTGAGATAGCAGCAGTAGTAAGGTAGGTTTGCAGGGTGCCTGAGGTTTGCTTCCTCCCGGATTTATTTTCAACAGCCTCCAGGAGTTCGTCCGTCCGGGTTGTTACCTTCAGAGCCAATTTGTCCAACTCGCCTACTGGCGCCATTCCCTTGCTCATCGTATGCCAGACTAACTGTGAAAGGTAAACTACCTTACTCTATCCGGACGCAGTAAGGTTATGTATGGATCAGGCCCACCCCCTGGACAATGCACAGCCATCAGTCATTGGGGGAACCCAGATCCATGCTGAATTAGCCCTCCCTCATCGACCGGCCTCGTAGAGATCACCATTCTCCGGTTTCGTTTCCGCCGTTGTCCAAATCCTTGCCGCTATTGTCCTCATCTGCAGCCATCACTTGTTCGGCCTAGCTCCCTGCCCCCAAGCTCTGTTTCATCCGCATGGACGGGGTGGTTTGCTGCTACGTGCTTTGTAGATGTGCTGCAGCGCACTGGCTTTAATCTCACATAGGGGCAGAACAGAACGATTGCATGGCGTGCGTGGAATGGATGTGAGAGCCATCAAGGATTACGCAACGGGATTGCACGGCAAAGTAAAATCTTGCACATCTGTGAGCTGACCGTTTGGGTGATGACTGTGTGGGTTCGGGATGATCCCGTGCACTACGTGTTCGACTATACTGACACCCACAGCACCAGAAGGTCCGCCGTTCTGTATTACGCAAATGCCGATAGGGTTCTGTGTCATCGAGAGACGGACACGGGCCCAAGGCATACAACGCAGGTACCTGACTGACGTCTCTTGATTTCAATCTGACCCGCCTCCTGCTGGCTTCGGGCCTTCAAGGGATGGAAGCCAGGTTGGTGTGAATTAGTGCCGACTTCAATCCAGTACTAAGGCAAGGTACCTGGGTACTTCTTCAGGCAAACAACGTTCCAAATTACCGCTTTTGGCCATTCGCACCTTCTTCCCTTTGTCGGCTTAGCAACGGCAAGTGCTGGCAACGATTTAATCCAAGCAAAAGGTCCCTTCTCAGGCTGACCCATCGGCTAGCCTGACCGGATTAATGACAAGAAGTCTCTTACAAAACCAAAACCGCCATCCGCCTTTGAGCGTTGGGGATAAATTTAGGGCTGGGGAGACGGCCAATCAGAGGGCCTATCCTGCAGCGTAGGTATCCCCTGGCGGAGAGACATCAGGTGGGGACAGGACGGAACAAAAATAAAGGAAAAAAAGAGGATATGGGATTTGCTCTGCGTGTCGGCCAGATTGGTTAATCTGGGGTCTCAAAGTATTCGGTTGTGAGATTGACGGGCGTTTCGGTTTCAATTGATTCGCATTGGGGTTTTGCCATCCAATTGCTCAGCCTACCTGCTGCGTGGTTGGTACTGCAACTGTAACCCACCTACTGCCCCGCTGGTCTATCTTCAGCGGCAGAGGGAGCAGTTCATGTGGTGTGAATGCTCCAAGTCACGACCAACAAGCAGTGGCCACAGCCTGCCAATTGCCATTCCCACCCAATCCTGATGGGTAAAGGCTAGGCCCGGCATTGCTATTTTGGAACTGACGTATGTACGCTTTCACCATGGATGCAACGTACGTGTGTGTGGGATGTATAGCCTTTGGCCGTCAGCCTCGCTGTGCTGCTGGAAGTCTAGTGAATCCTGGTGGGCGAGAGGCGACAAGTTTACATACAGAGCACATCTGCTGTGTCACAGCGCTGATTGGCGATTCTTGGGGCAATCGTACTCCCAACCCGTCTCACGGCATGAAATGACCGGAAAGGGAACCATGGGTGAGGAGAAGGGAACGTTTGTAGGGAGGTGGAATTGGGGCGGGCGTCGAGGAGCGTCTCATCAACATGATGCACGCAATTTGGGCCATTCTGAGCAAGTCCCAGCAAGGACGGTTCATTTCCGTACAGTCGGTACAGCAAGTCGTGTGAAGCCCGCCACCGCAGCCGCGGACGCAGGACTCGCAGGAGACGTAGCAGTGCGAAGGGGCGGCTGCCAGAAGCGTCCAGCTGTGCATCCTGCAATGCCGTCAAGCCTGGTTGATCCGCACCTGATTGATCCGCACCTGAGACCTGGAGAGCCGGATACAACCTGGGCACTGATGGACATGAGGGCTGCAGGTGGTAGGGTTCAGCCCACTGCACTGAACTCGCCCGTTTCCTCCTGCTCTGGGTCCTGGAGAACAGTGGACACGGGACTGGATCCAACGTTGACATGAAATATGTGGACACAGGTGGAAGACCATGTACGTTCACCTTGCCTGCTAACCCAAGCTCCGCTCCGAGGCCCCTTCACCCTGTCCGTCCTGCACGCATGCGCTCACATCCTTGTAGAGAGAGTACTTGATCGCCACGCCCCTCCCACGTCCCAATTTGTCATAACCACTCACGTTACCCCGGCACAACCATTGAAGCAGGGGGTGCACTTTTCGGCGCCTGGATGACAGCTGCTCTCGCCCTGTCAGCCAGACGAGCCTCCGCCCGCTGTCAACTCCTCCGCACCGTGCTATGTACTATCAGAGCAGGGCCCTCTTCCCCGTACGGAAAGCTAACCTTGAAGGTATGTATTTCCCCCCAAAGGTAGGCCCCCTGCCTCTGGCTTCGCGTTGCCTTTCGTTCGCCTAACATGGGGAGCGGTTTCTTTCACTGCACCCACCCCCCAGGAACCGCCTTATGGCCGCACTCTGGTGTCTTCCCGGGATGACACTTCTTTTCTTGTAGATACCTGGTACCACGGGCTGATCTACCTTAGTACTAAAATCCCATCTTTCCTCTCGTCGATTGTAAAGATGATGCCCATCGACTCTCCACAAAAGTCTTCTCTCAGCTCCCTTATTTCTTCTCGGCTCCTCCTCCCATCTGTCTCATCACTCTCCTCGCTTTCTTCCATATTCATATCCTCGCACCCTCGTCCTCCCAACTCCCTTGCCAGGTCACCGCTTGGTTGCATTTCGGGCCTCCCTCCTGGCCTTGTTTTATGCGACCACTTTGAGGGCAGGCTGACTTCAATTCGACTTCTTGCTATCTTGACTTCCACTTGTACCTATATCAGCCTCATCTGGCCCCGAATTCTCTCCCATCGCCAGACTACCCAACCTCTACATATATTTCAGCCAAGCGCGCACATTGTTTCTCCCTTTCCAGACTCACTTGGAACTGCCATCAGTTTGGACATACCGAATACCCTCTTATCTACGCGCCATCACACCTGAGCTCAACATTCATCCATACCAGACACCCACATTGTCACTTTGAGCTTCCAGGAATGATGGGAAAAGTGGCATATATTGTCAATCCAGTGTCACAAGCTCCTTGTATGACCGGACCATTGAGCCTCATCGACGACCAACGCCTGTCTGTCGAAGCTCCGAGTTCTGTATATCCAGATCTCGCACCATACTCCTCTGTAAGCCCATTCCCACCTTGCTCAGCAACACTAATCGCTGACGGGCGCCTCTAGGCTGCTTCATTTAACCTTCCGGCGCAGTGCGACTCCTCACTGCTGACTCCAAACTCGACTGCTGGATCGCCTCTTCTGCTGCCGTGCTCGGAATTTCGGCCTCAGTACCCTTCCCCAGGAACCCCACACAAGGAGCTCACCCCACCAGATTCTACCAACATGTATCCGTTCCAGAACCAATTCGAGATGAACAGCCAAACAAGCCAAAGCGGCTCACCAATGACCCAGCCCACGTCCACCCCTGGTGATTTTGGCGAACCATCC